CTATCTAGTTCCTTCAATACCAATGTGTTCTAGTAATATGAATTTTTTTCTGTGTTGATGTTGTGTACTCAGGTGAATAATATGTTTGCGATGTTACTCTGAGTGCATATCCACACCGGGCGAGCTTGAAAAATGTGCCCGGCCACGGTGGGATTCGAACCTACAACCTTTGGAATACTAGCCCAATGCTCGAACCGTCCTGACCGTGTAGCTCAGTTGGAAGAACATTGGGCTAGTATTCCAAAGGTCATAGGTTCGAATCCCACCGTGGCCGGGCATATTTTTCAAACTCGCCCGGTGTGGATATGCACTCAGAGTAACCATTGCAAACATACATGTAATAAGTTTTCAAAAATATCAGATTTTCTAAGAAGATCTTTTCTTGCAGGCTACTAAAGAAAACAAGAAATGAAACAAGATGGAATGAATATTTATTAAATTACAGATTTTGATACAAATTTAATTATGATACAAATTTATTTATTGTCTGAATATTATAAAAAGTACTCAGGCCAAATAAAAGTAATAGTTGGTTTCAGGTTTCTGACCGACCTGTCAAAAATATGACCAACCATAAACATTTTATTGACATTTCCCAGTAGGGATCATCTTTTCGTAAATATCAGAATATATAAATAGTCATCAGACTCATTTGCTACAAAGTATTTTGTTTGCTCATAATTTAATCATTATCTAGTCATGTTAATCCTTGATGCATTTGTTTCTCGCAAAACGTGTAGCTCGCGGTTGATCCTGTGTGGCACGTCTGATTATGTCTGACAGTTGAGATAAAATATTTGTTTAAATAAAATGCTTTTCTGACCTACCTACCCATATAAAACATGGTTGTGAAACCTGAAACCAACTATTATTTTTATTTGGCCTCAGTAAGTACAATGCTCTAAATGTACAGACATATGTCACCATTTATTATAATCATATCTTCAAGGAACTTGTAAACATAATATTGCAGAGATCTGTAAAAAATATGCTTTCATTGTTAACTCAGAGCAGGCACAGATTTTCTGGGGGTGAGGGGGGTGGTCTGCACCCTCCCAGAAATTATTTGCACTCCCCAAAGCCATTTGGCACCCCCGCAAATTACATATATTTTGATTTGATAGTTACATATTTGATTATTCTTACTACTAAATTTGTAAAACACCAATATTATAGTCTCAGATCTCGTCATGCAGGCCTAGAAAAATTTTTTGTTAAACTTTTTCCTTGGCCTTTCCAGGCGTTACCACCACGACCCGGCCAAAGCAAGCAGCAGCACCCCCCAGATATTTATCCACACCCCCCCAAAACAAAAATATGAAAATCCGTCTCTGACTCAGAGGGAAAGAAGTATTATTTTGTGTAGTAGTGGGATGGATTCACTTGGGGCTATTGGGGGAGGGGATTCTGTGTGAAATCCTTGGCAATTATCAAACAAAGTAATAAAGTATTGGGTCTTTATGACCTCATGGACAACTTTGTTTTCAAAAGAAATTAACATGGTTGGCTCCTCGTTATTGTTAGTTTAGCTACACTCGTACCACATCAAGTTACACATGCATGAGGGAAAATAGGTTGTTTCAACTATTAATTCCACTTGCAATTGTTACCTACACACCATATGAAATTTTGGTTTCCAATTCAGGGATGGATTAATTAACATAGTTTTTTTAAGATTTTATATTATTAAGCTTTGTTAGTTCGGCCCTGACGATAACTCCATCACGACTCAGCTTTTACTTTCAAAATTATATGATGATCTTGAGTACGTACAATCATCATGTATCATTGATAATATCAAAATATTGCCCAACCCTATTTACTGGTGATGAAGTGGTAATGCTGAACCTGAGGGGGGCGGTGTCTAGGTAAAACACAGAGGTTAAAATAAATCCATAACATGGAGGCCTGTTCAGAACTCCTAAACCTCAAATGCCGACAACTAACTAAGGAGCTAGAACCTGAGATCCCCATTGGCTAAATAATTTTCATTAAAAAAATTATTATTCAGCATGCATATTTCACATATTGCTATTTTTAATAAGCAAAAGTGAAAAGTCGTACACATTTGGCAATTTAAACAAAGAGTAACTTAACTCTTGAGACCAACATAAAATATATTCATTTTTGGCAAAACGGTTAGACGAGGGCGATTCAATTCATGTTTCCCCTGACCAGGACTTCTTGTACGAGGTTGGACTCCTTGTTGACTTTATATTTGTTGACATGTTAATTGGCATATATATTTATATAAAATAGCATGTGGAAATTATTCTGCAGAATTTAAATAAAAATAATCCGTATTATAGAGCATTTACCCAGCTATTACGAAGTTGTAACTTGTAAACGTACAATCACTTTCATGAAACAATATAAAACACGAAAACCTAATCAAAATCTCTCCTATATTATATTTTTATAATCAAGGAGTCAAAGGCATATTGCTATAAAATGTCAACACTCGCCATCATGGTGTTCAAGAGATAAATATTCCATTAATATCTCTAATTCCTCGCACGATTCAGACAAAACACTTCCCATGTACAGCAAAGGACCGCTACCGTCCAAAACATCCTCGATTTCTTCCATATTCGACGATTTTTTAGGTTTTCGAGTGTTTTTGCAAGTTTTCGAGTCACGATTTCACAGTCCCTCAAATCAGCGCTGCTCAAATTCGACCACGCGTACAAATGAGGGACTGTGGAAGAGTCAGGTTTTGTACCATATACAGATGATGTAGAAAATATTACTTGGGACAAAAGTACCTGTGTAAAGAGTTGATTATAACTGCAGCTGCACATCCCAACAGCATCTTCTAACAACATAACATAGGGAGCCTTCCGATGTCCTTTTACATGGGAAAATCCAAATCAAAATACTGCACATTGTGCAAAACATTGATATGCTGAGCCTCTTCAAGCTTTTATATTTGGTTAGTTTGCAAATATTTGAAGTGTCATAGACAATAGGGTGGACCAGCTGATAGTTTTTTATTATTTCTAAACGTGCCGAGGCAAAAGCATCTCCATCTTTCGCAGCTAAGTTGTCTTCTTCAATATCAGTTACAGGCAGTCCCGCTCTCTCAGTAGGTAGCTGACTCTTCTTTATTTTTTATGCCATTCTCAAAAAATATTAACTGATTTGCTGGGCTGTTAAGAACTAGCTTGCATCAATTAAATTATCTCCATTGTCGTCTTTGGTGTATCTCATATCCTGAGAAACAATTACTCCATCAAGCTTTGTGTCCAGTTTCTTGTCCAATGTTGAATTTTTGGTCAAGATAAATCTTTTGTTTTTCACCGAATCGCTTTGTTTGCTTCCCTGCTTTCAGGGCTCATCCTTGTAATTAATAATTTCTCAACTGAGGAGCTGGAACTTTACAGCTTGACAGAGATGGAACAGAGTTAGAACCATGCAGAAGTTTCTCCCTATTAAGAACTTTGGCCTTGTCAAGTAGATTTAGCTTTTCCGCAACAAGTTGGCACTCTCCATAAAAGTTATGACTTTCTAGATTTGACTATTGCTGGTACATTTTTATGCACCCATCGATTGGACATGGAAAAAGCTTTAATGACAATAAATCAAACTGTTTATCTTTCTACTCCCAGGCCAACCTCGTACCCAGGGTTCTCTTTGTGCTGACCGCGAGCTGTAGAGAACTCTGGCAAATGCTGCAGAGCATTATGTAATCTTTTGTATTTTCCCAGGGGGGGGGGGGTTATCAATTATGAAGAAAAGCCTGGTCACAGGCCACTGTTCTGTTCATTCATTGAAATCGCTCATTCTATTGATCGATATCGCATCATTTATGGCACAGAATAGGCATGATTTATGGCATGAAATGGCTCAATTGAAAAGAGAAATGCAGATGCTCGTAAACTATGTTCTTATTATGAAATGTGGTGAATGATGAAAGGATATGTCAAATTTGTATGTTCAAGAATTGTTAGAAAACCGGAAATGGTGAGTGTTTATACTTTAATATGTCTCATGGCTTTATATTTTATAATGTGATTTGTAATTAAATTGACACATTACTGACATACCTGCTCCACATTTAATACGTTGTTCTGTGCTTTATATACTCAGCTGCATATACTTCTGATCTTTTAGTACAACTTTTATCCATTTCTTATGTATATTGTATGAAACTGTATGTGTGAAATACAAACAATTCACCTCCAAATATATTTTTAAGATGACTTTAAGATTTTTATCAATAAACGTTTTGATATAGATTTAGACAAATATGATAGCAATAACAAATTTATTAAAGAACAACGTTTCAAAGTCATCTTGACCTCATTTTCAAGTTCAAATTTTTACACAAAACAACAATTAAATTAATATAAAGTGTTTACAAATAATTGCACAAGCAAACTAATTCTTCATTCATGACAGTTGCAATTTTAAATTTAATTAACATAATTAGAATAATTAAACATGCAAATTGAATAACAAACAATTAACAAACAATAAAAACAACACTAGACGAACAATTATGCTAATAGAATGTTAAGAAAATAGTTTTGAGCGTATTGAGTCTGTTTCTTTAAACTAGGTTTAAGATCTTTAATAAATAACATTTCATAGAGTAAACACTCAACTTTCCCTGACATTTTCTCAATACCTTGAAGTTTTTCTCAATATTCTTTGCATCCTCACCATATGCTGTTCAACCATATGTTCTCCGACAACTGATGACTTGTGTTCATCAATGACTTTAATATTGCCTTATTTAATACAGGCACCATATATATACTATAGGCCATATACAAATGACAAATATAAATTATACTGGTTTGGCTGACAATTATACGGAGTCATCTGACAATGGTTCATTTTAAGGAAATCAAAGTTCACATATTGGCCTAACATATAATACATGAAATCAACTATGTACAAGTGTTTTTACTTTTACTATGAGTGAGACTAGATTTATATGCAGTTACAGTGTCTTACAATGTATATGATCAACCAGAATATTACAGTTATAACAATTCCGGTCAGATTCAGGGTTAGGAACAGATTTCAGGCAATCACGTTGCTCATATATATCCAGGAAATGCCGAACTGTGCACTCCAGCAAAAGAAATTTTATAGAACCCAATGTGAAATCACAAAACATTATCACTTTTTCAGTAATCATGTCATTCTTACCCTTTTTATGACTCATGTGGCTTGTGTTTGTAGGATTCAGTCCTGCTTCCGGATTTATTGTATTTTAATTTAGTATATATGGTAATTTATTGTGATTATGTAATGCGTGTAGTCATGCGTTCAGTACATTTGAACTTCGTTTGGACCGCAAAATTATTTAGAATCTATATCTAAGTCTGAACTCTTGTCTGAACTTATTGACAGGATTTACTTTACTCTAACAGAGGGAATATCTGTAAGTTTTATTTCATATTATGCGATTAGTTCATAGTGTAGTGTCTTAGTTTGTATGTATTTGTTTTGTTTAGTCAAACCGTATTAAATGAGTATTGATTTTACCGTACAAGTTTGAAGTTGACCTAAAAGCAGAAGCTGTAGAACAAGAAGCAGACGATTTGTTCCTACATAAGTTCGAAGATATCCTCATTGATATACCGAAAGTCAACTATACTTTACTCAATGTTTCAAGGATGTTTTCTGCTTAAAATTTGAAGCTTCGATATGGCGGAATTTGACAGAACCTACAGACAAGACAAGCGATCGAGCAGAACGCCTAAACATGACTTTAGATCAAGCAGTCGAAAGGTCTGAACAACTGCGAAGAAATAGATCTGCTGCAAAAGGCAACATTACTAAGAAGATTAAAGAGCTAACTGAATTAAAATTGAACTTACAAGATGAAAGCGAAGCCCGAAACAAAAGACACAAACTTAATGATGTTGTGAATAAATTTTATGTCGCCCACGAATGTTATCATGATAGAATCAAAGACGAATATGATCTCAAGGACTCCCACGAGTATCTGCAAATAGAAATTAGGAGAATCGAGAATTTTCAGCGAACTTTAGAAGAATGGATTACAAGTCTTTCAACCGAACATCGAACATTAGAATACGATGTAAAGTCCGGCGACTCAGCGAGCAACATCGCATACAAAAATCGAAGCAAAACAAGAAACTCTGTTGTAAGTTTGCGAAAAACCGAAGCATCAACTCATAGCAGTATGGCAAATGCTAAAGCAAAGAAGGCAGCGTTAAAAGCTGAGGCAGCTGCTTTAGAAGAGCATCGAGCCCTGGAAGAAGAGGAGCTTCGATTGAAACATCAAGAGTTGGCTGAACAACAGCATCGAGAAGAGAGACTGCGTCTTAAACAGAGAAAGCATCAGCTACAATTACAAATAGAAATTGCAAAGGCCGAAGCAGAAGAGAGAGTTTATGCTGTGGCCGACTTGGGAGAAAATTTTCACCACCCACCAACGCATCCACTTGAACTGCCACAACTTCCAACTGATGAATATCCACAGCCTTCACGCATTAGTAACAATACTCCCCAGTATCTCCAACAACAGATGAAGTCAACTGGGCAAAAATCAAGGTCTGCAGATGTTGGACACTCGGGAATTCCAAAGGGTAGAAGCCAAGATGATTCAGAATTAGCAGAAAATTTCCTGCACGACATGTTGGATATGCAACGACAACAACAACACCAAAATCAAGAAATGTTTCAAATGCAACAATCAAGGGACTTTCATTTACAACATGTCCTGAATCAACATCAGCAATCGGCTCTGTCGATGACATTACCCAATGCTCAAGTCCCAACGTGTTTGGTGGTGATCCTGTTGACTACTGCCATTTTATAAGATCGTTTGAAACCCTCATCGAAGCGAAGACGCCATCTAGTAGTTCGAGGCTGTATTACTTAGTCCAATATATTTCTGGTGATGTGCAGGAGCTTATTTGGAGCTGTTTGTCCATGAATCCCGGATGAAGGATACCAAGTTGCAAGGAAACTCTTGAAGCAACGGTATGGCCAAGCCTACAGAATAGCCACAGCCTGTTTGGATTGAGTCACAAAGGTACCACAAATCAAGTCTGAAGATGGAGAGGCGCTTCAAAGGTTCTCTGTATTGCTTACGAGTTGCAAGTTCACCCTAAAGGAGATTGGTTATCTCAGCAAACTTGATAATCCGGACAGCTTGCAGAGTGTGATCAGTAGACTACCCTATTCGCTGAGGCAGAGATGGCATGACGTAGCAGATGATATAACCAGCAATAAGACGAGAGAGATAACGTTCGAGGACATAGAGAAATTTGTAGAAGTGAAAGCCAGGGCTTTAACTCATCCCATCTTTGGCAAAATTAACAGTGATTCCAAGAACAAATTAATACAAGATCCTAAGGGACCAAGAAGTAGATACGCCTTTGGAGTGAATAGTAGGGAGAAGAATGTTCACCGTAACTTCGTGAATACAGAGGCTACAGCAGGTTCATTGGAAATGAGATCCTATTACAAGAACTGTCCAATGTGCAACGGTACCCACCTTTTATCTCGATGTGACGTGTTTAAGAGGGAAACCATTGAAAACAGACTAAAGTTAGTGTGCAAAAAAGGCTTATGCAACAATTGCCTTTTCCATGGTCATATTGCCAGATCATGCCCAAAAGAAAGCTTTTGCAAAGTGGCTGGTTGTCAAGCAAAACATTCAACGTTTTTACATGCAAGAAATGTGGATCGGCGCGAAGAGAAACCTCTCGATGAACAGTCCACTGAAGCAAATAGTAAAGAAGCAAATCAGAATGAAATTACCAGTGCACAAAATGGTTATGTTAATACGAATGTTAGCAGGTGTGACGTCATTGGGGCCGTCGTGGCTTCAACTGGTTTAGCGATAGTACCCGTCAAAGTCAAGTGTAGAAATTCTGATAAGACGATCCTGACGTATGCTTTCTTGGACGCTGGATCAAATACGACGTTTTGTACAGACGAGTTGCTGAAACAACTTGGGGCAAAAGGAGAGAAAACTACCCTCTCGCTTACTACCATACAACACGAGAACAGCCCAACCAAATGTTGTGTAGTCAACCTTGAAGTATTCAATTTAGAAGAAAATAACATCGTCGATCTTCCTTATGTGTTTTCCACCTCGAAGTTGCCAGTTGATGAATCCAGTATTCCCAAACAAGCAGACGTAGACAGATGGTCACATCTCAAGGATATCAAGATAACAAGAATTAATGCTAGTATTGGCCTCCTTATTGGTAATGATGCACCAAGGGCGTTGGAGCCAAAAGAATTTAAAGAATGCGAAAGCAGTGGCCCATACACTGTGAGAACGGATTTCGGGTGGCCAATTAACGGACTGCTTGGAAGGAATTCACGAACATGTCGCTCGACCAACTATATTCGAAGTGATCACACGTTGAGTACGCAATTTGAGAAGTTTTGTAATGTTGAATTCAAGGACTCTACATTCGATAGCAAGCTTGTAATGTCTATAGAGGATTCTCGCGCAGTGAATATCATGGAAAATTCTATCCGACTCCACAACGGACACTATGAAATAGCTTTACCTTGGAAAAACTCTCCCCCTCACCTACCAAACAGTCGGCCTCTTGCTGAACATCACCTAGAGCTCTTAAAGAAAAGACTTGCGAAGGATCCTGATCTATTTTCAAAGTATGCTAAATTCATGGATAATCTCATCGACAAGGGGTTTGCACGAATGGTGCCAATAAATTCACTTCAGCAATCGGACGGAAAGTTGTGGTACTTGCCTCATCATCCAGTTTTCAGTCAGAGCAAACCAGATAAAATTTGAGTCGTGTTTGATTGCGCCGCTGTTTACCACGGGACGTCCCTCCACGACCAACTACTGCAAGGACCCGATTTAACTAATAATCTTGTGGGAGTCTTGATTCGCTTTCGACAAGAGCCTGTGGCTCTTATGGCAGACATTGAGTCAATGTTTCATCAAGTCAACATACGTCATGAAGACAGCGATGCTCTTCGCTTCCTATGGTGGCCAGAGAATGAGCTTAATTCCGAACCCAAAGAATTTCAAATGCTGGTCCATTTATTTGGGGCGACTTCCTCCCTGAGCTGTGCTAACTTCGCATTGCTTAAAACCACAGATGACAACTCCGAGCATTTCGACGCAGTTAGACGCAATTCAGGACACAGTTAGACGCAATTCTTACGTGGATGACTGCCTCAAGTCTGTTGGAGATGACAGTCAAGCAACAGTTCTGGGCAGTGATCTTCGTGAACTCCTTGCCAAAGGTGGATTCCATTTGACTAAGTGGGTGTCTAATTCATCAAAGGTTGTCGCGTCATTACCCGAATCGGAAAGAGCAACCTCAGTTAAAGATCTCTGTTTTGACAAGCCATCCATTGAACAAGCTCTTGGGGTCCTCTGGGACATCGGCCACAATGAATTTGGATTCAGGATCAAGGTTAAAGATAACCCTCCAACCAGAAGAGGAATCCTTTCGATTATTTGTCGGAAGAATCTCGGCTGGGACAACCCTATCCAATATGAGCACCTCCTTTGTTGGAAGAACTGGCAAGAAGAAGTTCCCAAAATTGAACAAGTTCATGTACCCCGATGTTTCAAGCCTCCAGAGTTCGGTGAAATTATCTCAAGTCAGTTGCATCATTTTTCTGACGCTTCGCAACGGGGATATGGTGCTGTTAGCTATCTGCGATTAACAAACCAGAACGCTCAAATCCACTGCTCATTCGTGATGGGTAAAGTAAGATTAGCACCGCTGAAAGAGACCACGATCCCTTGTTTGGAATTATCTGCAGCTGTAGTCGCAACAAGGCTGGACAAAATGATACATGTGGAGATTGACATTCCAATTGATACATCACTATTCTGGACAGATAGCACCTGTGTTATAGGCTACATTGCTAACAAGGACAAAAGATTCCAGACGTTTGTCGCAAACCGTGTAGCTAGTATTTGTGAAGTCAGTTCCCCATCTCAGTGGAGATATGTTTCAACCCAGCTGAATCCTGCAGACGACGCATCACGAGGTCTTTCTGCTGATGAATTGATTAGCAACACAAGATGGTTGAGTGGTCTGGATTTCTTGTGGAAGTCAGAAACTCATTGGCCAACTCCACCAAATGTGCTTGGTGAGATCCCCGACGAAGATATGGAGGTTAAGAGAGAAGTTCAGACGTTCGCTACAGATACCATTGCCCACGAGTCTACGCCAGACTCAATTTTGACTCAATTTTGACTCATACGTGATATGTGACGTGACCTATACAGTCACACACGAAAGTGCCCTGCGATTTTTCGCATTTTTTGACCAACTAAATCAAGATATTTCAGAAAATACAATCTACAGTGCTTAATAAGTCAATCGTCCGTTGGATTTTAAAGTTTGTATAAAGTTGTCGTTGTTTCTTCATCGCCCATTTCGTGTTTTTGTTGTTCATTTTGTTCATTTTGGTCAACAATTAATATAATTTGGTCGGTTGATCGATACGTGCGGAGTACATCATTAGTATGCTGACGACGGCGCGAAAGTTTGAACGATGGAGCGGTGCGTGTGCATCTGCGCTAATTAATGGAAAGAATTACATACATTTGACTTGGAAATCACGATGCGACAATATTTTCAACAGGATAAAGGACGGAGTTAAGTGTTTTATAACAATATTAACAATTCTCTGGTTGTGTTCAAAATTGAAACCTAATTTTATTCAAATCAAATCTACCTTAAACTGCGTCATTGTTAATCCAGAACTAGCAATTTTTCCACAAAAGCTGTGTTATATTTGGATTGCTACCTGTGACTTTAAACAGAGAAAATTTGACTACCCGCTGAATTATCGCTATGGATTAAACCTACAATATGACCGAAAACCGTCTCACGTTTTCCTCCTTATCTTGCTTGCTGGTGATGTGGCTACAAATCCAGTCTCAAGCCATGCTAAAACCAACTACGGCTTAAAGGTACTATATCTAAATGCACGTAGTCTAAAAGCATTTGTGGCACTTGATGAAAGCAAAACCAACGTTTGTAAGATAACATTATTTCAACAACTGGTACAATCTGGTATATATGATGTGGTTTGTGTGTGTGTGAAACTTGGCTAAATAATACCGTATTGGACAGTGAACTTTTGCAGGACTACTGCATCTTTCAAAGAGACAGAGTTGGACGAGTCGGAGGTGGTATTCTCGTTGCTACAAAGTTGAACATAAGAGCAACTCGCCGCTTAGATCTCGAGAAGCAGGATACTGAATTTGTGGTGATAGAATTGATTAAACCCAACAAAAAGTCAGTCTTACTATATACCTTCTATCGTCCTCCTGACTCAACAACGGCGGAACCCCTTCAACATCTTAACACATCCCTCCAAAACACCAGTGAGTGCAGTTGTTGTGTTGTAGTTGGTGATTTTAATCTCCCAGCGATAGATTGGTCTACTGACAGCACAGCTCCAATTAACAAAGGAGAACAAGCGATTGGTGATGTCTTTTGCAACCTTGTTGGGGACAACTTCCTAACCCAATTCATAGAAAGTCCTACACATAAAGCTGGGAACACACTCGATCTACTTTTATGTAATTGTCCAGAAGTCATTGATGAGGTCAATATCAGAAGTCCTGAGCAATGTTATTTCCCAACAGATCACCAAATTATTGACTTTAGTATCAGACTGAACTTTCAACGAACCAAGTCGGCAGTGCGTCAGATTTACAACTTCAAGGAAGCCGATTTTGAAGGTCTCAATAATACGCTGAGTCAGATAACATTTGATGTTAACACTACCAACGATATCGATAAACTTTGGTCTTGCTGGAAAAAGTCGTTCCTTGATGCAGTAAATAACCACATCCCAACCAAAACAATAAAGGATAGCAACTCTCTTCCTTGGGTAGATAAAGAAGTTCGTCATCTCATTCGAAAGAAATACTCAGCATTAAAAAGATACCGCCAAAACAAGTGTGAAACGAGAAAACAAAAGCTAAGAAGCTTAAGTGACGCCGTCAAGTCGCTGGTTAAAAAGAAGCATTGGGAATATCTAAGGAAAATCTAAACATCATTTGCAACTAATCCAAAACTTTTCTGGACTTACCACAAAGCAATTTTGCATAGCAGATCAAAACAGACTTCTGACATTGTCTTCAACAGCATTACAGCAAAGTCTTCTGCAGAAAAAGCCGAGCTTCTGAATTCTTACTTCTCCTCAGTATTTACAACATCCAGTACTGACATTGGGGATTGTGATGGTGAGGCGTCTGAAACTGAGTTGGGATTGGGTGAATTAACAGTTGATGTGGTTGAAGTGGAAAATTACCTCAGAAATTTAGACATCACCAAAGCGAGTGGCCCTGACAAGATACCAGCACGTCTACTAAAAGAATGTGGTCGGCACATTGCGCCTAGTATCTGTGAATTATTTAACGTATCCTTGCGTGTTGGACGACTTCCGGTAGAGTGGAAATCAGCGAACGTGACACCAGTTCACAAGAAACATCTGAAAGAACCAGCGGAGAACTACCGACCGATATCCCTTTTGCCTATCATTGCAAAACTATTGGAACGTTGCGTATGTAGGCGACTATACGAACACGTAATTAGCGCTATCTCCTTAGGACAACACGGTTTCCTACGCAATCGATCATGCACTACACAACTGCTGCAAGTTTTACATAAGATTGGAGAAAACCTTGACAGTAATATTCAAACAGACATTGTCTACTTGGATTTTGCCAAAGCTTTTGACTCTGTCGATCACGGTTTAATCTTGGCAAAACTCAGGCAATTCGGTGTACATTCAAACATGCTAAATTGGTTCACTAACTACTTAACTGGTCGGACCCAAAGAGTTGTCGTTGATGGTGTTGCTTCAGGTTGGTCCTCAGTAACATCTGGTGTACCACAAGGTAGCATACTTGGTCCAATGTTGTTTGTATTATTCATCAATGATTTACCCGACATCATTCCCGATATATCAGAAACTGCTTTGTACGCTGACGACACAAAAACATTCAGGAAAATTACTTGCGAAGATGATGCTCGCCAATTACAACAAACCCTGACAAACCTAGCCACCTGGAGCAATACCAACAATATGAGGTTCAACGAGTTAAAATGTAAAGTGTTGACTGTGTCGCGAAA